TTATGAGCAATAACAGATTTACTTATAAATCGGAGATCCTTATCAGTAATATTATGCCAAATTGTAAAAATTATTGCACATTTTTAACTGAGAAAAAACATAAAAAAAAAATGTATCTACACTAGTACAGTGTGCCACAGAAGAATGTTACCAAGTGTGATGAAAAACACGTACTTGCATAAAACAACACAGAGGTCGACTTAGTTAAAATAAACAAGTAATTTTTTAATATTAGCAAACGCTTTTCCAAGAAATAATGCAATGCAATCATTATAAAACAATAACAATAACAGCAAATCAAAAGCGCAAATAAATTGACTGTCTCTTACGGCAACAACTCAACTCAATTTGTCTCTTAGCGCTCAACCGCAAACGTAAAACTTTTGTCACCTTTTTGTATTCGTTGAATGTATAACACCGTGCGACAGTAAATTTTACACACAAAAAAACACAATGAATATATTCGCGAAGCTATGGGTAAATTTTTGTAAATCTGCGTACCTAGTTTTTCTCTCTGACGTCAGNGGACGAATGTGTATGGAAAATTTGCTTTAAAAATTTAGTCCTTAAATATTCTTGAAAATTTGGAGTATTTCTTTTTTTATTATTGTAGGACTAATATATGCACGAACTCATCATAGAATCTCGTTTTGCAAACTTTAATAACTTAAAAAGATAAAATTTATTAAAAGCGCATTTTGAATACCTATTCAATCTTTTAAACCAAAAAACTTTATTGTTTTTTTAAATTCTACAGAATTTTCTCTCACGTTTGGTACCCATATTCTAACCTACATTGTATTGACCTTTTTAAATAAATTTTTCGTATGTATCTTTAAAACTTCCAAGTCCTTTAAAAAAAAATCCTGACGTCATGAAAAACTTAAAACGCAGTTTTACTATACTTGGACCATTCTTTCGTATGTTTAGATTTTTTTTTGTTTTTGTCGCACGGTGTAATAATTGCGAGTACATATTTCCTTTATGTACATATGTATATTCATGTGTGCGTATGTGTATATTCGTGCGCATTGATTTTTTACGTTTTTGCTTTCATCTCACTATCAGCGTTCTGAGCTTTTCATAATAATTACATAGCTTTTAGTCATATATCTCCCACTTTATTGCTAAATCGTTCAGTAGGTGGCGGGTTGAGATAATCTCAAAGTGATTTTCTGAGCTGGCGAAAAAGTATTGCGCAGTTAGGGAAAAATATTAATAATTTTGCAATAAAAATTTGCTAAACTAAAAATAATCGAATGCACAAAAGTTTTATGTAGTACATATATAAACAGACAACGTTTAGCAATTTGAAGTAATTCGGAACGGTACGTGATCGTGGTACAATTGAAGGTAAATACATATTTGAAGAAGTGAGTACATACTTAAGTAGTGCTGTGTATTTGTATGAGGGACACGTCACTTAAGCAGGGGCACAGTTCAATTGCAATTCAGGTGCAATTTTAGAAGCGTATGGAAGCATAAACAAATGAAATTCATTGACAGTGAAAATAACTCCTAAATTTCTCTAACTACTCCATTTTTACAGCACAAAAATCCCGTAGACGCACTGTCAATAAGAATTAAAATGCATCAAACGCGAAGCCAACGCCATTCTCCAACCTTAACACTACTCGCATTCGCTTACTTATGCCTAGCCGGTAGCGTATGCAGTAGGAACGCAGTCTTTAGTTATAGTGAGTCGAGATTCGGAGATGTGAGCATTGTAAGAAGCGAAAGTAAGCAATGAGTTTCGCAATTAGAAAATTCTAGAAAATTTTTTCCACGATTCTAATTCGTTTTCATGCTAACTGTATATTTCTACGGCAAATTTCAGGAGCCTGGCAGTGTGACCGCGTCAGATGTCCGCAAGATACAGAACAGTGTGTGGTGACCAAATCCATTTCGCCACAAGATCCCGAAACGGTAATGCGCAGAAATTTATGTTTGTCAAAAAATGGTGATAAACTTGTTGATAGACGCTTTAAGGAAGAAGCTAGTCAATATGGAAATAATGATATTTTAATTGTAAGTACGAAAGACGGTAGCCAGTACTCAAGCACATACATGCAGAACTTGTATGACATAGAGAATGTTGAGGAAAATTTGCAATTCATGGATAGGGTTGATAGAAATGTCACAGAAAACTTGGAAAGAGCTGCAGAATTAATGAGGCGCAATATGGCAGAATTACAAAGACAAATTGAGAATGCTTTCAGGCATCTGCCCTTCTTTGGGTAATAAATCTGTATGTAAGCAACGGCGTGAATAGAGTCAATGGAATTTACAAAAAAACAAAAACAGTAAAGCAGCCACCCAAGCTTGAAAAAAGAATAAGTAAATCTATAACAAAATGCTATGTACGAATCTTTGGAATTAACATGAAAATAAATGATAACATATTTCATCCGAAAAAGTTTTTCCTTTTTTATACAAGTATTTGATACTCTAACTAACAAGCTTTGTGTGTATGTATGTGTAAGTATGACGTGTATGTCTTGATTTGCCCTGCAGCGGGGTCGGTGACAGTTGTGGCTTTCGTACTAGTTAGATTACTAGTTCCAATAGCATATTATGATCCAGGTAGTAAGGCATCGAACTATTGGTGAAAAATTTCGGTTTTAATTTTAAACTTTTTGGACTACATATATGACCAAACTAAATTTAGTTTCAAATACAAACCTTCCAAGTTAAAAAATAAAATGTGTGATCAGAATGAGAGAACTAGTATGTGAGAGTACTCACGAATATTAAAGCTCAAACAGTCAATGACGTAACGTAGACGTAGGTTGACGCAGACACGATCTACCTTATGGGATTCGCGTGTTAACGAAAACTCACCACCGTATGGCGATGACGTTGCCGTTGCTTCTATTTCTCTCTATCAACAGTAAATTTGATATACTGCTACGTACGTCAACCCACGTTTACGCTACGTCGTTGACTAACTGCGCTCATAGACCCCGTGGCTGTCAACTTTCCTAAAAGCACCAAAACTTGAGAAAAATCAAAACACCAAAAATTTCTTTCAGTAAAATTAAATATGCATCTATACGATATAAAAGAGGTTATATTGGTAAATCTTCTCTAGAAACTACTTTCGCTGGTGTTATTATTTGTAAAAGTTTTATATCTTCACACTTGAAATCAAATCTTAAATTTATTTGGTCCCGAAACTCTAAATATTTAATGTATTGGTTTTAACATCAAGAATTTCCGAACAATTGACATTACTTTTCATAAATTTCTCAGCTTTCATTCCAATAAAAATGTCAGATATTTTAATATGGTTAATTTAATTTTTAAAAGCAATATTAATATTGTTACTGATCGCGTCTTTTTTAATAAAGTTACTCATAATTAAGAGGCAATGTGCTTTGATAGCTAGTTGCATCTAAGTATGGCGTGCGAGAGCTTTCAGCTTGGAACTCTTTGGAAAGATTGTTAATTATGGGCAAAATATACGGTAGAAATAAAAAATAGCATTTAGTTTTGCAACACATTCCTTCGGCCAGATCTCCAGATCGCATACCATTTACATCGTAAAAGCAGGAAATAAAATAAAGTTTCAAACTATCCCATTGCTCAACTATTCTTAACACAACGCTATCTAGTGAAAGCAATCGGTTTGAGATATGCCCAAGACTTTGTGGGGTTTTTATAAAGCAAAGGTCAAGTGAGTGGCGTGTGCACTTTATATAATATAAATCGGTTTCCGCACTCAATAATGTTTTCAGCCCGCCCAAGTCTACAGCAACTTTGTTATCGAGTTTGCTATCGATTTTGTTATCGATATTTTTATCGATTTTTCTATCGATATTGTTATCGCTTTTGTTATCGATATTTTTTATAGACTTTGTTATGGATTTTGTGAAGGATTTTTTGATAGATTTTGAAATCGTTTTAGTTATGTATTTTTGTTATCGATATTTTCATCGATTTTGCTACTGATATTATTGTCGATTTTTTACCGATGTTTTTTATCGATATTATTATCACTTTGGTTACCGATCTTTTTTTCATAGTGTGGGCTCTCCTTTTTGACTGGGATATGATCTTAACCATACCACGTATCTTATTTACGTTTAAATTTAGCGGCTGTATCTCTGATACAGCCTGCAGACCAAGACGAAGGCGCTGGGCTGTTCTTTTTTTGGAGTGGTTTTCGGTTCGGTTTTGGTATTTCAAAATAAAAACGGTTCGTGGTTCGGTTCGAAGCCCGAAAAAAGTTATAATTCGGTTAAAAACCGGTTCTGTACAAAACCAGATTGCAGCCCTGAGTATTACTATTTGTAAGAAGTCTAAAACTAAAAAGTAGAAGTGGAAAGGGGCCAAAAATGGCACGGTTTGAGCAAAGTTGGCAGGCCTGATGCCTGCCCACAGGCATGCATATACATACAGTCATGTGAAAAATAGTACGGACACGATACTTTTCACACTTTCTTTTGTTTCTTTAATGTCATGTATTTTGTTTATACAGCTCATTACAGCTAACAAAAACCAATTTAAAAGTTTGTAGAAATATAAGAATAATTCAACAAAATTTTACAACAAAAAAAACTGTTTACCAAGAATTTCTAAAAAAATCTAAGTACGCAGTCTTATAGTCCAATCAGTTCTAGATTAAGAAAGTGCACGCTTCGAGCGGCTAGGAGTCCGTGTTGGTTTTTGATATTTTTTTTGTGGTGGTGTTATTTTTTTTTTCCTTACAAAAAAAGTCGAGCGGACTTTGTATGGAAGAAAATGCGTGCCATCGTCAAGAAAAAGATTATCAGCAACAAATCACCTTGAAGCTTTCGCTAGAATTGAGTGGGCTATAAAACTGCATACCTAGATTTTTTCCAAAGATGCCTAATAAAAAGTTTTTTTGTTGTAAAATTTTGTTGAACTTTTCTACACTGTTTGAAATTTTGATTTATTCATGTGGGTTTTTTTTTGATAATGAACTGCATTTTGATAAAAAAAATAACCAAACTGGTCAAAATGTCGTATCGCTATTATTTTTCACATAACTGTGTGCACATAATTACATACATAGGTATCAATAGTGTTAATATTCTTGCTGGCGCTTCTGTTACTACTTCAGCTGTTGTTGCTGCTGCAAAATTGCTTTTAAAATTGTTTTCCAGGCAGCAATTTTCAACTTGGCATTATTCTTCTTCGGTTTTTTTTGGCTGCAGCTACATGCTTTCCAGCTCGCCATTGCCATTTGAAAATTGTTGCAACTCATTGTTTCGCCGGTAATTTCCTCCTCTCATCCACACAGCCATGCGCACCGAACCGAGTACATGCATACACATAAAATCACACAAATGTCTGGAAATGCAAATTCAGTCAGCAGCCAGCAGGCAAAGTTCAGCGTCCAGTCGCAGCTCGACTCGGCTGTCAAACTCCCACTCGCTTTAGTCGAAATAGACGAAAATTACCCGTTTTTGGCCTGAGGACGAGTAGTGGCCAGCGAGTAGTGGGTAGCGAGTGCAGGGACTCTTCAGCAACGGCTTAGTGACTGGGCTTCAGCGACGGTCGCTCAACCTGTCCGAGTGACTTGCTTTGACTTTGATGTTCTATTTGATTTGTTGCACACTTGTTGTTGTTTT